CGACGAAACGTCTGCTGATAAAATTCACGTCGAAACGGAAAGCAGCGAAGTTGAAGAGGCTATTGGCCCAAACAGGTTTGCTAAAAAACTCGTGAGGAAAACTGTGTTAAAACCGATGGTTGAATCGGACGAAAATGCAGTAGCATTGCCTATTGGCAACATAGAATCGTTATCCTCGGAACTAGTCTTTTTACAAAAGGTAATTCCTAATATCGACTTACGCGATTTTGAAATTGGTACGAGCAAACCAGACGGAAGCAAAGTTTTCAAAAAAGTTGTTCAAAACCCCGATAAACCAGACGTATTTGTGGAAAACATCGTCGAGACGAACGTTCCTGGTCTTTCCGACGACGACGTAGAGGTTGTCACTAGGGTCTACAAGATACGCGAAAACTTGAAAGATGACGGCTGCGTTAAACGAGAAATAAATAAGAAAACTGTAAAACCCAAGAAACAACTGTCTGCCGAGCCTATACAGGATCAATTGGCAAAGGAGTTTCAATTGATAGATGTGCCATCTTACGTCATTCAAGAAAGTGAACCGCAGAGAAAAGAGTTGAGCGACGGTTCTATCGCGTTTAGCAGGTGCTTTAAAAAAAAGACTGGTATAACAGATACTCAGGCTGATATAATTGAAGAAATAATCGAAATTGCTCCTGGATTCGACGAAACGTCTGCTGATAAAATTCACGTCGAAACGGAAAGCAGCGAAGTTGAAGAGGCTATTGGCCCAAACAGGTTTGCTAAAAAACTCGTGAGGAAAACTGTGTTAAAACCGATGGTTGAATCGGACGAAAATGCAGTAGCATTGCCTATTGGCAACATAGAATCGTTATCCTCGGAACTAGTCTTTTTACAAAAGGTAATTCCTAATATCGACTTACGCGATTTTGAAATTGGTACGAGCAAACCAGACGGAAGCAAAGTTTTCAAAAAAGTTGTTCAAAACCCCGATAAACCAGACGTATTTGTGGAAAACATCGTCGAGACGAACGTTCCTGGTCTTTCCGACGACGACGTAGAGGTTGTCACTAGGGTCTACAAGATACGCGAAAACTTGAATGATGACGGCTGCGTTAAACGAGAAATAAATAAGAAAACTGTAAAACCCAAGAAACAACTGTCTGCCGAGCCTATACAGGATCAGTTGGCAAAGGAGTTTCAATTGATAGATGTGCCATCTTACGTCATTCAAGAAAGTGAACCGCAGAGAAAAGAGTTGAGCGACGGTTCTATCGCGTTTAGCAGGTGCTTTAAAAAAAAGACTGGTATAACAGATACTCAGGCTGATATAATTGAAGAAATAATCGAAATTGCTCCTGGATTCGACGAAACGTCTGCTGATAAAATTCACGTCGAAACGGAAAGCAGCGAAGTTGAAGAGGCTATTGGCCCAAACAGGTTTGCTAAAAAACTCGTGAGGAAAACTGTGTTAAAACCGATGGTTGAATCGGACGAAAATGCAGTAGCATTGCCTATTGGCAACATAGAATCGTTATCCTCGGAACTAGTCTTTTTACAAAAGGTAATTCCTAATATCGACTTACGCGATTTTGAAATTGGTACGAGCAAACCAGACGGAAGCAAAGTTTTCAAAAAAGTTGTTCAAAACCCCGATAAACCAGACGTATTTGTGGAAAACATCGTCGAGACGAACGTTCCTGGTCTTTCCGACGACGACGTAGAGGTTGTCACTAGGGTCTACAAGATACGCGAAAACTTGAAAGATGACGGCTGCGTTAAACGAGAAATAAATAAGAAAACTGTAAAACCCAAGAAACAACTGTTTGCCGAGCCTATACAGGATCAGCTGGCAAAGGAGTTTCAATTGATAGATGTGCCATCTTACGTCATTCAAGAAATTGAACCGCAGAGAAAAGAGTTGAGCGACGGTTCGGTCGCTTTTAGGAAATTTTTTAAAAAGAATCCATGTTTAAAAGATTCTCAGGCTGATATAATTGAAGAACTAATCGTAATTGCTCCTGGATTTAACAATGCTTCCGTCGGTAAGGTTCACGTTGAAACGGAAACCTGCCAAGTTGATGAACCTCATGGTCAAAATTTGATGTTGAAAAAACTCGTGAAAAAAACAGTATTGAAACCGATGTTTGATGCAGACGAAAAAGTGATATCTTTGCTTGATGATTATTCTGGAATTAGAAATCTTTTTGTGTCTACTGATCAATGTTGGTTTTATGTTTTATATATATTTTGCCGTTTTATATTTAAATATATATTTTTCCGTTTTTTTGTCAGTTTTCCCTCAGACCAGTCCTTCGTTTGACAGTATGGTTTTGCGTCAATATGATACTATTGTTGATGAAACTGCTGTTATTCGTCCTATGTTTGATTCTAGTTTTCAGAAAAATCTGTGCACTTTTTTAACTGACGATTTTGAAACAGATGAGCAGTGGAGTGTTATTAACAATGTTTCTCATCATGACAAACGTTTAAATAAATTTAGGACGGCTATGAAGCGAACGATTGGACCAGATGGAGAAATTATTGAACAGCTTATCACAGAAGATTATTTCTCAGATATTTCTAACTCTTCCAGTAAATCGTCAAGCTTGGATTCTTTAATTTTCACTGGAGAGGTTGAAAATTCAAATAATAATTTTCATCCAATCACTGTATTTACAAATACAATAGAAGAAGATCCTATTCTGGAAACTGAAACTTCCGAATATGAAGATACTCTGCCCGATGGAACTTTTGTTTGTCGAAAAATTGTTAAAACCAACAAAAAACAAACGGTTATTAAACGTGTTATATTGGAAGGCGTTGGGGAAGATGAACCGTTTCCTGAGCTGTCCGATGGTGGGCTGGTTCCGTGTTATTCAAACAACCAACATTTTACTAGATATTTTGATCATTCTTCCACCGATCCTGAAATTTCCACTGATGTTCAAGTAAACGAAGAACGGCTAGAGAATGGTGCACATGTGCGCAGAAGAGTGACTAATACTAAGCAACAACTGCTGACGACTGAAAGATTAGTCGTTGGAGGTAAAGGTTTGTTCAACTCCAACGAAGAATCTGAGGATGCAGTTCTAAATAGCCTTAAATCCTTAAGCTTGACAAAGACATCGACAGGTAACTGCTTGTTTTTAAATATTTTATTCGATGATCTTGGTATTTTATTTGTAAAAAAATTTATCATTATCGTTACTAAACTTAAAATACCCAAACTTGGAAAACCTAGCTCGGCCAGAAATAAAACAATTTTTTATGAAAACGATATTTAAAAGATGTGTTTATTATTTGTATTATTATTATCATTATTATGAAGATAGCTAACGACAAATTACAAATTTCGATCATTCGTTTTTAAGACAAGAAATGAGAAAAAAAATTTACAAATCAGAACTTTTTTAGAGACATTTTAACTTTAAACATAAATAACTTTAATCAACCAACAATAACTTTATAATTATCAATCAATTTAAAATCAGTAAATTTTTCAATCTAACAATTTAAATAATGTATTCATGTATGATATGAATATTTAACTTATTAGATAGTATAATAATTTTAAGATGTTTTTTAATAACCGAAAATAATTGCACTATTTAATATTTTTACAATTTTTTAATCTTCTTTCTTTATTACTTTATGTTTTGATATTATATTCAATTTTGATATTTACATACTTCATATAGTATGTAAATAATATATATCAAAGCAGCAATTGCGTGAAATTAAATTTTAAACTAAAACTCTACATGCATCAGAAGCTGGTTCAAATTGGCTAAAAAGGCCGTTTTACAACTTTTATATATGCGTTCAAGCTCATAAATGTTTAAATTCTGGCTAGAATAAAAATCTTTTCAAAAATTTATTTTTAATCACTTTTTGATTATTAAAAAATTTTTCGTCTGCAGTTAATGAAATTTGCACAATTTTTTTCAGAAAGACTCAAAAATAGTTTTTTTCTAATTTGAAACACACCGCAAAATCAAAAAACCGTTGTAGCATTTTAAATTAGTTGTTAGGAAATAAAAATACATCCGACGAGAGTCGGCAGGACATAATAAAAAGAAGATAACTGAAAGAACAAAAATGATTCAAAAAGATTCAAAAATTATTAAAAAAGAAACGATTGATCTATTCATATTTAGATATACTGATATATAGATTTATTGATAGATATATTTACTGATTGAACTACTAATAGATAGATCTACTGGTAAATAGATCTACTTAGGTAGGTGGTAGTTATAACATCAATCAATCTTCGTTTTGCGTCCAGAGACCCGGTTTCCCGAGGTAGAATGTTGTTTTCTTTGCCAACTTTTTGCGCCAGATTAGACGATCAGCTGTATCCACTTCATTTAAATTTAGAGCTTTCATGTCTTGCACGATTGTTTGCGACCAGGACTGCAAGAGAAGTTATGGCACTGTTTCCATTTCGTTTGACGGTGTTGCCGGAATTCGTCCTTTATTTCATCTAAACCAGCACGACGCAGGATTTTCCACTTCGTTTGACATGACCAAACCACCGCAGACGGTGTTGCCGGCATTCGTCCTTTATTTCATCTAAACCAGCACGACGCAGGATTTTGGTAGATTTGATGTGGTCCTTCAGATTAATTCGTTGCATCCATCGGAGCATTTTCATGTTTCGTCGTTGTTCCAGTTTGGTTGTCATTGGCCATGTTTCTGCATCATATAACAACACCGGACGTATCACAGATTTATAAAGTCTTGATCGTAGTGGTAGTGGGATGTCACGTCGCATCAATATAGAGGCAAAGAGATGCTATTTATTCCAGGCTGCACGTATGCGTGCTAGAACGGCAGCTTCAGCAGTTCCAGTATTATCTAGAACATCCCCTAGATATTGAAACGATGTGACTTGATTGATGCAAGCAGGACAAACAAAATTGGACACTTTCCAATTATTTTTGAACAACGTTTGTGACACTGGTTACACTGCTGACACTTGATTGAATTGCAGCTTCAGTTTGAAACGATGTGACTTTCTCTACCTTAATGGCTTCAAAAACAGTACCATTTCGAATTTATTGTTGTTGATTGATGCAAGCAGGACAAACAAAATTGGACACTTTAGATAAAGTACCACTTATTTTTTAACAACGCTGGTTACACTGCTGACACTTGATTGTATTGTTACCTACACCAGCTTTACAAACTGAACAGGGCCATCGTCCAGTAGCTATAGATTGGATGGGTTCACCAGTGTTCATTGCTTTAGTTTTGCTGATGTTCGGTTTTGGTTTTGACTTTGAATCCATGATCGGCGAGTCTGGTGTTCCAATCTTCAAACATCTGTGCTGCATTCTGCTCAGACGTGGCTGTTAAAACGATATCATCAGCATATATTAGATTCCAAATGTCACCAGTGCGTATCGGTTTTGTGATATGAAGATATAAAGTTATAAATAACAGTAGAATCGAGTCTTGGTGCACTCCAACGCCGATGTCAAATGCATCTGTATTTCCAACCGTTGTGCTGACGAGAGTCTTAGTATTCGTATACATTTCCATTACAAGTCGAACATGATATTCTGGGTTGAGTTGTCGACGTAGACTCCACCTGATTGCTTCACGGAAACTCGATCAAATGCTTTTTCAAGGTCTCCAAAAATGTGTGATAGTTGTTGATGCTTTAGGTAGGTAGTACGTAGGGAGGATGGATGGATGGATGGATGGATGGATCTGTATCTATATCTATGGGTAGAATGATTGCTAGGTCGATAAGTAAAGATTAAAGATATAATATTTTGAATATCTATTTACACACAAAATGACAAAGTGAAACGCTTGAATGTTTGATAAAAAAAGATAACCAACGATGAAACTGAAATAACGGCGGAAGAAATGATAAAAGCATGAAAAAATGAAAATAGCACATAGAAAAATAGCATTCTAATTGAACTGATAATAACGCTTGTGCCTCAAGAACAGAAATGGATCACAATTATGGTGCAAATAAGTCATAATTATGCTTCCATTAAGTACAATTTGAAAGATTTCAATAATTACTGATCAACACCACTTCACTTACGTATTATCTTGAAAGAATGAATTGAACCATGTAGAGAATAATAGCTGAGTGAAAAGCAAGCAAGTCTAAAAAAAGACAAGTAAATCCAGCAAATTCTTACGTTAAAACATTTTGATGGAGGATGTAAAAAGCAGTGGACAAACAATCTATCAATCTTTAAGATTTAAAAAAAAACATTTGGCTTGGTCAGACATGAAAAACTGACAACTCTGGAAAAACTTGTTACATCATGAAAGTTCAAATTAGAGCCCTGCGCGGTTTGCGGTTCAAAATCATGCGGTTTTACGCGGTTGCGGTTTTGAAATATGCGGTTTTTTATCAAAACCGCGGTGACCGCAAAAATTTTGTTAAATATTTTTGTTCGTCCATAACATTTTAAAAATTGCATTATCATTGTAATAATTTTATATATTAAAATCTTAATATCTTTGGAAGCCGTTGAAGCAACCATTTTCTTTTTCCTGTTTACTTTGAAAGAAGTTGTTATTTTATTTACGGCGTGGTTAATTATCGATTATTTTATAAAATGTCCGAGGTAAAAAAT